TAAACAAAGCCCCTTCACACCCATAGTGTGTTTTCGCGATAAAACGCCGAAGCATTACACGCAGTAAATATTAAAAACAATACGAATTTCACTCCTCCCAGTCGCCCTTTTTTTTCCTACTGCTTAGCATTTTTTATGACTAACATTTTGCTCTTCCCTTTTGTAAACGCTGCGACCACCCACCCTCCAACAACTATACCACTAAATTAAGATATTCTAATCTTTATAACCTTTCTACTTTCTAAGAGGGAACATAAATTATATAATACCTCAAATTATTTCGCGAAAACTTGTTCCTTTGTTCTTGATCTTATCATTTCACCAAATAAAAAACGAATTAATTCCACTTCCGCATTGAATTAATAGACATTTTGCACAAAATTTTTACTACATCACACACTTCTTGATTATCTTCGAATGAAATCTCCATGAACATAAACAGAACAGTACAGTCAGTCGCGCTATTTATGAATTAAATCGTGTCTGCTAATTCCGAGATCGTGCAAAATAAATAAAAAGGCACTAAATAATAAAAGCGAACCATTCATATTGTCTACCTAATATACTTGTATTACTTGCATGCTTGCCTCTTTATTTCTACCTTCAAAGAATTTTTTATTATTATGCTCTCGATATAACAGCGCTATATAAAACAGTTTTAAACATACATTTATTTATGTAGGTGCGTATTAACAAATAAATGAATAAATTAATTTAATTGTTTGTTTAAACCATTAAATTTTATGTTCGAATTATGGCGCTAATTAAAAATATTTCATATATGTAAATTAATTCTTTAATAATTTTAAAAATGTATTAATGATATTGTTGTTTTATCGTGTATATACATATTTTTAATTGCATTTATTTTTAATTACCTTTATACATCCAATTTATTCCCAACAGGATAATACTAAATAGTAAATTCGGGAAATATGACGCAGTTGTTTTGTAAAATTACTACATTTTTACTAAGCAGTTGCATAGTAAAATTACAAAATGTTGCAATTTTAATACACATTTGTTGTAATATTACATTTTGTTATAGCCAAAGTACTAAATAGGTTCCAATTTTACAATGTTTTTGTTAGATACTTATGGTTATTTTACAATTCTGTATTGTACAACTGAATTTAAAATTTTGTAAAATTTCTATACATATTCAGAATGTAATTTTACTAAGATAATCAATAAAATTACTAACCATAATTTGCTATTTGAATTACAATAAGTGTTTGGAAATATACAAATTATATTTATTTTATACAACTTCTGTTTGTATTTTTACTATATATCATTTTAATCATGTAATTTTTTTTGTTAAATAACAATTGTTTTGCAAAACAAAGGATGGCTAAAATTACAAGTCAGTGTATACCAATACAAAATTATAATACAATTTGATTTATCTTCCAAGACATGTTGGGAAATCTACTAAGATTAGTTGTAATTTTATAATCTATATATAGGTATACAGGGTGGCCGATTTATCTGAAGACATTGAAATATTTCGAAAACTATGCATCGGATCAAAAAAAGTTTTGAATAAAATTTGTTCGCCTGGAAGGGGGACATCCAATGATACCAAAGTCGACCCCTCACCACCACCCCATGGGGTGGGGGTGGGGGCAACTTTAATATTCTAAATAGGAACCCCCATTTTTTATTGCAGATTCGGATTTACTATTAAAAAATAAGTAACTTTTATGGAAAAACTTTTTTTTAAATTCCTGATAGATGGCGCTGTAATCGCGATTTTTGGGAATATCTTGAAAAATTGCAGATTCGGATTTCCCATTAAAAAATATAATTAGTGTATACGAGAATTGTAAGGGAATTCAAAATAAATTAAATTAATTAATTCCTTTTGATGTTCCCATGTTCCCATGGCCATGGGGTGGGGGTGGGGGCAACTTTAATATTCTAAATAGGAACCCCCATTTTTTATTGCAGATTCGGATTTACTATTAAAAAATAAGTAACTTTTATGGAAAAACTTTTTTTAAATTCCTGATAGATGGCGCTGTAATCGCAATTTTTGGGAATATCTTGAAAAATTGCAGATTCGGATTTCCCATTCTTGGGTAATTTTAAAAATAGATGTTAACTTATTGATATACGAATAAAATCCAAAAATTAAACAAGTTTTTCTTTTTTTCGATCCGATGTGTAATTTTTTAAGATATTCCCAAAAATCGGGTTTCTTGCGATTACAGCGCCATCTATCAGGAATTTAAAAAAAGTTTTTCCATAAAAGTTACTTATTTTTTAATAGTAAATCCGAATCTGCAATAAAAAATGGGGGTTCCTATTTAGAATATTAAAGTTGCCCCCACCCCCACCCCATGGGTCGACTTTGGTATCATTGGATGTCCCCCTTCCAGGCGAACAAATTTTATTCAAAACTTTTTTTGATCCGATGCGTAGTTTTCGAAATATTTCAATGTCTTCAGATAAATCGGCCACCCTGTATATACGTATACGTATAAATCTTACAAGCATTGTAATTTTACTAACAGTTTAACATTTCCAAAGAAAAAGCATCTCAGATTTACAAACGTTGTTTGTTATTTGATTTGTTATGCAAAATATGGTTCATTTAATTATAACTTATGGTTGTAATAACAATATACGTAAAATTAGTTTTGTTATATGTACTCTAATCATTTTGTTATAAAAATTTAGTAAAGTTAGATATTTGATTAGGCTATTACAACCATCATGTAGGGCTAAACTGTTACTATTACACTAGATGGTTAAAATTATAAGATTATCTGGTTACAATAACAATATAATGTTGTCACTCATTATTAACAATATGTCGTTGTAGTTTTTACTATACAGAAAGTTTATACATATCATATGTATAGTATATTTAACCATATAGAGGATTATAAGGTATTTGCATATGATTATTATAACTAAATAAATTATTGTTTTGTGCAACAACAAAAATATAGTTAAAGTGACAATAAAACTGTTTCAATATAAACATGGTTAACATAACAGTAAATATGGCTGTGCCTATACTAATCAGAATATTTAGTAAAAGTTACTATATATTTGATTAAGATAACCATTGTTTTTCCTCAGTGTAGTATGTATCACGTGATGTTCTTACATCTCGCCGCGGTTGACTTAGGTAGAAAGCATATAAGCTCAGGTGTCTTTCGTTATTGATGTGTTCCAATACACCAAATTGTCCGACATTGATAAGACCCAAAATAGGTCTATCTGTCTATCTGTCTGTCGGAATTTGAAGTTGGTGGAACGCACTTAAAACAAAAACTCTGGCGAGGTGAAAATTCACATTTTTTTAAATCTTTACAAGAAAGTTTCTTGAAGATACTAAGAAAATTGCAGGGTTTTTTTCGTAGTATAATTACAATACCATCATTCGTAAATTACTAAATATTTTTAGTGTAATTTTTTGTACAAAATAACAATATTTGTATTGTAATATTGCGAAACGAATTTTCTTCGGTTCAGTAAAATTGTAAAATATATTTTGTAATTTCTTAAACTGAGTTGAAATGAATTGTGTATAGTATAATTACAATACACCATTTTAAAATTACTAAACATATTTAGTATTTTTTTTTGCAAAATTACGATACCTTATAGTAATTTTACTGAACAAATTTTTAATAAATGCTTAGTGAATTTCAACAAACGTTTTGTAATTTTTCCAAATTGAGTTGTAATGAATCGTGTAGTGAATATACAAAACTGAGTTTTATTATTACTATATTGTGGTGCGTAAAAACTTCCTAAACATGTTCAGTAAAATTACAATAGAAATTTTTAACAGTGCCCCCGAAGTATGATAAAAACTTTAGCTGTTTTCATTGTTTACTTTGTCTGTGGCAGCCGCTAAGGTTAGAAGTGTTTTATGAGCTCGGCGATTTTTCGTATCCAATTTTGCTTAAAAAATGAAATAAATTCTGTGAAATGTTAACAAAGGCCTATATTAAGTCTGCTATAAGTAAAACAAAAGTTTACAAGTGGTATAAGAGTTTCCAAGATGACCGTGAAGACGTTGAAGATGAAGAACGCCCTGAACGCACAAGCACATTAACAACAGATAAAAACATGGAAAAAGTGGAAGAAATGGTTATAAACCATCAGAGAAGTCGCTGATGATGTTGGTATATCGATTGGCTCATCCCATGAAATTTTTTCGAATGTTTTGGGTATGAAACGCGTGGCAGCAAAATTTAATCTAAAATTGTTAAATTTTGAACAATTGGCCAAAATCAATTCTGTAATGATGCCCCACCCTCCATATTCGCCAGACATGCCTCTGTCTGACTTTTTCCTATTTCCAAAAATAAAGAGAACCTTAATGGGCCGTCGTTTTGCAAGCATAGATGACATTAAAAGCGCATCGCTGAAAGAACTAAAGGCTATCCGAAAGATCGAGTTTTAAAAGTGTTTCGAGTATTGGAAGAAGAGCTGGCACATGTGCTTAATATCCAATGGGTCTATTTTGAAGGCGACAACATTAATGTAGACGAATAAATAAATATTTGTTTCAAAAAACGAAAATTCCCGATATTTTCTGAACACACCTCGTATATATAGTGTGGTACTTAAGTTGGCAACATTAGGGAAAAAAGTTATTCTTTATAAAAAGTTGTGCATGTTCTAAAATCTAAAATATAATCATCAGATAAAAAGTCTTTCAAGAGTAAAGTACCTTTATATTTGACAATATTGAAAATTCTTATTAAAAAAAGTTGATCAAAACTAAAAACTACGTTCAAATATGCAATTACTTTTATTAAAAAGTAAAAGATGAAATTTAAAATTGACGGGAAAACTACCAAAACAATATTTTCCATATGCTTTTTGAAAAAAATAGACGATATTTTTGAAATTTAAAATTAGTTATTAATCCATTAATACCGCTTTGTAAAAAGGGCAGATAGATGGAATTCGAGTTGCGCAGTGTCCCTGGCGTCTTTACTGGATCGGGTCCGGATCGGGAGAGCATGTGTCTGAATTTCAGACTCTGAAAGCGTAGAAGAGGAACGCAACAAACAGTCCACACAATTGCTTTAGCAGCGGCAGACGACGGAACGAGTTACTGCTGTCCGCCGGCCAATAAATATTATCGCGCGCCGTGCGTGAACAATTTTGAAGGTTTTATAAGAGACCATAAAAACCCTAAAACAAACAACATGTCTTCTCCTCCTATTATTTAAACTCTTTCCACGTGTACTTTTTCTCTTCGTAAGTGTGCAGTGTCTGCTTCATTTTCCAGATTTCACCTCTTCCTGCATGTTCGACTGGTAAGTTTTCTTTTCTTACTCACATCTTACACAGCCTGTGTCTTGGTAAAAGTATGTTGGAGTACCTAGACAACACACCACAGTAAATATAAAGAATAATTAAATAAATGGAAAGAACTGTTTTATTATAAGCAACATAATTTTATTGCTTTAAACAACGTCAATTACCCATAATAATAATAATAATTGCTTTTTAATCGATAAAATAAAAGACTACTAGTTTTTAATAACTAAAAATTCCTTTAGTGTATATTTTAACCGCAGACCAATTTGCCTAAAATTCCTATCCTTAATTAAAATCCAATTCCCAAATACCAAACAGTTTTATAATAAAGAGGTGTCTGGGAGTCTGCCATCATGTATATGAACATGTTTTGTCTGGTTTAAATAATCCTCGGTGGTCTAAAGCATCTAAGAAAAAACTTGCACAAAATATATTTATGCATCAAGTATTGTTATATAGATAGAATTTCTTGGGACGTGATTAAATTAAAAAATCCGACAATTTTTAATTGAAGTGCGGCTTCCCTCTACAGTCTTTTAATTTATTTTTCTCCTATCTGGTTCATCTGCATTTCGGGGCCATTATCATTATCACAAAAAAACAATAAAGAGCTCTTTTCGGCGGTTTCCTGTTTCTTCTCGGATAACGAATGTAAGAATTTAATTTGTTTACATTGGGCTTAGTTGGGATGAGTGAATAAGTCAGTTGCTTACCTAATTTAATTGAAAAGAAGATCGACTCGCTGAAAACTACAAACCAACAATTGATGTTGTAAGATGATGGCGGGCTTTCATTTCGATAACAAAAACCACCAAAATAAAAGAACACCTTTTTATAATGAGTTCTCAACAAACTTTGTTTACCAAATTCTATCAAGTTTAAATAATTAATTAAGACGTAATTACTAAAAAGTTTAACCACTTCACACAAGATAAAATCAATAGTCAAACTGTTAATTAAAATCTAAATTAAAGTCCTTATTAAATATTTAAATTTATATACCGTTTAAAAAGTGCTTAAAAGTTTTCTTTTTTTATTATAAGATTAATTAAACTACACTAGCCATCACAAATTAGCCAAAAACCTTAACATTTAGAGTATTACGTTATTTAGATTTTAAGTGTCAGATTATCAATATAATCTATAATATTTTTACATTAGGGTGCTTTAAAAAAATTTTAATTTTTTTTCGCTCTTACCCTCTTAAATGTTTCTATTTAATATAAAAAAAATCCTCACCAAATATGGGCGTTCCAGCTCAACTCTAAGAGGTCGCTGTTTTTATTTTAGTTTCCCATTTAATTAACATGGGAAAAATAATGTTATGTTTGGAATTGTATACCTCTGTATCAAAGTAACTTATGGCAATGTTTCTTATATAAAATTTAACGCTCTACAAAAAAGGTCTTTTATTATTTTTCGATAAATTCATTTCTTTTGGAGTTATTCGAGGTCAAAGTTTGATTAACATCAAATTTTTTGTTTTTTTTTTAATTTTATCGTACAATTAGCAGACTGGAGGTGAAAGGGGGCAAAACAAGGCAACGGGGGGGCAAAATGGGGTACCCAAAAAATGAGCATATGAAAAGTTTTCCAAATTTGTACCTTCCTTTTTCTCGCTCTACAGGCTCAAAATAATTATTTTCGATTAAAAGCGTGAACTTGTGAGTCAATATATATCAAATAATTTAGAAACCGAAAAAAATAATCTAAAAAAAATTTTTTTTACAAAATTTTTTGGGAATACCATTTTGCCCCCCCGCTGCCTTGTTTTGCCCCCTTTTACCTACCGTTTGCTAATTGTACCATAAAATTAAAAAAAAACAGACAATTTTATGTTAATCAAACTTTTACCTCGAATAACTCTAGAAGAAATCAATTAATCGAAAAATAATAAGAGACCTTTTTTGTAGAGCGTTACATTTTATATAAGAAACTGCAATGATCATTCCCATAAGTTACTTTGATACAGAGGTATAAAATTCCAAACATAAAATTATTTTAATTAAATGGGAAACTAAAATAAAAACAGCGACCTCTTAGAGTTGAGCTGGAACGCCCATATTTGGTGAGGATTTTTTTTATATTAAATATAAACATTTGTATGAGGCGCCGTTTGTGCCATAATTATGATTTGTAAAATATATAATAATTTCTAAAATAAATATATATTTTGTTTAAAATATAAATATTTTATCTAAAATATATATATTTTAGCTTATTTTATAACATATATATTAGTTTTATTAAAATATAATAATATTTTTACAAAATAATATATATTTAAAATATTTATATATTTGGCCAGTTGAACTAATAATATAATTTTAATACTAATAATATAAACTCAGCTTACAAGACGTAACGCCAGGAGGCGCTGGCTGCTTTATTTAACTTGGCAACGCAGCCTGTTTGTAATTGCATGTCGGAATTACTGTGGTGTAAATTAAATAAAACTAGAAGATACATTAAAAATAATAATACCTCTGGTACGTAATAAAGCACTTGGGTATAAGTTTAAATTAAAATCTAACAGATTAATAGGTCATTTAAAATTTCACCGCAGTAATGGAACCAAATCGACGACATAGTTTTGCGTAGCCCAGAATTAAGGAATAAAAAATTATTGTTTAAAAAGAGAGTCACGACAATAAACATCCAGTTAAACAAATAAAAAATAACAAAAAGCCAAAGTGCGGCAAAAAGTTATTTAATTTACACCACTGTAATTCTCACATGAAATGAAAGAAAGGCTGCGTTGCCAAGTTAAATAAAGCTGCCAGCGCCTCCTAGCGTTACGTCTTGTAAGCTTAGTTTATATTATTAGTATTGAGTTTATATTATTAGTATTACTGTTTTAAATATATATTATTTAGTTAAAATATTATATATTTTAGTAAAACTAATATATATCTTAGAAAATGAGTTAAAATATATATAATTCAAACAAATTATTTATATTAAAAAAAAATATTTATATTTTTACAAATAATTCTATATTTTATAAATCATAATTATGGCACAAACGGCGCCTCATACATTTGAGACGGTAAGAGCGAAAAAAATTATATATTTTTTTGAAGCACCCTAATATACATCCTACGCGAATTAAAACTTCAATTCGCTGTGTTTCTGTCAAATGGGCCATACTTGGAAAGATTTAAAAACCGCTGAACACTCGACTAAAAGTTTGTACCTGTTTTTTTGTTTAAAATCACACACCAACAAAGAAATATATCGACACCTGCTGTTTGTAGAACAAATAAAAATAATAAAAAGTACCTACGACTGAAAACGTTTGTACCTTAAATAAAGTATTTAAATAGATTTTATGAACATTTTAGCGATAACAACTTTTTTATTTTGTCAAAAAATCACTAAAAAAACTAAAATTGTTTCACTTTTAAAAATTAATATCTCTGAAACTATCGTCCACAAGGTGAGAAGTGTGTTCAGAAAATATCGGGAATTTTCGTTTTTTGAAACAAATATTTATTTATTCGTCTACATTAATGTTGTCGCCTTCAAAATAGTCCCCATTGGATATTATGCACATGTGCCAGCTCTTCTTCCAATACTCAAAACACTTCTAAAACTCGATCTTTGGGATAGCCTTTAGTTCTTTCAGCAATGCGCTTTTAATGTCATATATGCTTGCAAAACGACGGCCCTTTAAGGTTCTCTTTATTTTTGGGAATAGGAAAAAGTCAGACAGAGGCATGTCTGGCAAATATGGAGGCTGGGGCATCATTACAGTATTGTTTTTGGCCAAAAATTTTGTTCAAAATTTAACAATTTTGAAACAAATTTTGCTGCCACGCGTTTCATACCCAAAACATTCGAAAACATTTCATGGGATGAGCCAATCGATATACCAACATCATCAGCGACTTCTCTGATGGTTTATAACCATTTCTTCCACTTTTTCCATGTTTTTATCGGTTGTTAATGTGCTTGTGCGTTCGGGGCGTTCGTCATCTTCAACGTCTTCACGGCCATCTTGGAAACTCTTATACCACTTGTAAACTCTTGTTTTACACTGAAAGAAAAAAGCGGTCAGCGGTACCCATGGTAATGGTAAAATAGGCGCCAACCAATAGAACCTTAGTTGCTACCATTACAGAATGGTAATGAGTTATTGTTACGAATTGAAATTACAGCAAAGTGATCGTTACCACTACTGCTTTAATTAAATTTTACCACTACATGTTGTTATACAATAACCGTTTTATTAAAACCTTTTACCACTACACACTGTTGAAACTTACGAATACATATTGGTATATGGTACGCTTAGTATATTATTTTAGCTACTTAAAATAGTTTTTAAAACAGGATATAACAGTAAGGCGAACCTTAGCCAAAATCATTGTTTAATTTGTATTATTGATTGCACTTACCCCTATAATTTGGTTTTCTCAACAGCACGGTAAGGTAGTAAATAAATGACAATTATATTAAAAACATTCTTTATTAAAATAAAATTATTTATATGAATTTCCACAAAAATATAAGTTAAATAGGACCTACAAAAATTATGCAATAACTAAATATAATAAAAAACATGGCGGATCCTTAAATTATCGTACAAATATCCTTAAATTATCGTACGAATATTTTTAGAGAAATTGAATTATGCAGTAAAAACCCAACCCAACCAATATATAAATAACATGTGTTTGTTAATTTAATTTTTGTTTGTAGTTTTTTTTTCTTCTAAATTAGTGTTGCGCACACTTCCTAGTGAATGTGAGAAGTAAAAACCTTGCCGGTAACATATAGGCATTAGGTAGGTATTATTTTAAAACATCGAGAGAAAACGAGTTATAGTTAACCCCCAAAAATCAATATTATAATACCTATAGGTAAAATACGTTTTACGATCCGTACCGGTTAAAATGGGGAGTAGTTCCACAATATCCCAGTCCTTTTATAACTGTTCCACACCTACTCACAACACGATAAAAACAGTATAGTATGATATCACAAAACTACG